GAGATATATAATTATTAGTAATTATAGAGGATCGGAAAACTATAATGTTTAAGAAGGATAAGTAATAAAGTTCACGTGAAGCTATGGAGAGAATACGCAAAGAAAAAGAATAATTTTTTAATATTGTAATGTTTTGATTTTTTTTTTTTTACAAATTTAGTTTATAGATTGTTACAATTTGGATTTTGTTTTAGGTTTATTTTTATGAGATATTATTGGCTATATTACTACATTTTATAATACGTTTAATAAAATTTGCTTTGAGTATAATAATGTTATAATTTTTTTAAAACTTATTTCTTAATGGAAAAATGGGTAGGATATGAAAATTAATGTTCCCCTAGTGGGGAATTTCCGCCCTCGATCCCGTCTTAAATTAAGTGGGTATGGGGGACAAAAAGGAAGTAGGATATGGAGGTGTGAGAAGCATACCCGTCCCGCCCCATTGTCATCCTTAGTTTTTATCCGGCCAATTCATGGCCCATTTTTTTGCTTTGTTTAGTTACTAAAATGCCCTTGTATATATTGTATGGGTGTTGAAATGAGATCTTCCTATCCTAAATCCTTCATTCATCTTCATTTATTTATTATAGTTGCCCAATTTATCCAAAAAAAAGTACAAAAAAGAGAACACTACAAAATTTTGTCTATCTAAATTCGAGTAGCTTATTAATTTGTTTCTACCACTAATGTAACTCTAACAAACTAACAAAGTTATTTTGAAATGATACCTTTATATTTAGAAATGTAAACAGCACGCTGTCTTACCCTATTAGTAGAGGTATTGTACGATACAAGCGTACTACTACTCATAAATCATAATATTAAAATTTTTAATGTGATTTCTAAATAAATCATACTCTAATGAGTCTCTAATCCTTTATAGTCGGCATCTCTATTTTCTCTCCGTGCACTCCTTTACATTAACCTTCTTTAATAAATTATCTTAATAAAAGCATATAAAAAAATATATTTATTTTAATAGAAACATATATTATTTTAATATGAATTTAAGTATAAAATTTTAAAATTTTTAAAAATAATATTTTTTTTAAAAAAAATTTAAGTGGGAGCAGCTGCCCGCTCATATTCATGTGGCTCCGCCACTACTATTAGGGTCCATGCAACCCAAGCGCTAGCTCCTTGACGATTGTCGTCCCTTCCCCGCTCCCTCGACGATTCTGATCCATTCTTTGTGCCCATGTCCTTAATGATTGTTGTCCCTTCTATTTGCTAATGCGTCCTTCTCTACGCCCTGCGCACGCCCATGGGTCCTTAACGATTATAGGCCCTATTCAAATTTTCCCTTCTATTTTTGTTTTCTCACAATAGAAAAAGCAAAGGAAAAAAAAAATCTTTAAACTCAACTATAACAGTATCTTCCATTACCATTCAACATTGAAATTTTCAATTGGAGTTTCATCTTCCTGGAGCATATAAAAAATAATTTTTTATTTATAATTACCTTTTGTAGTAGTTTGAAGTATTTTCTTTTTATCATTTTCAAATTAGAAAAATTTTAAATTTTAGAAGATTTGATAGTCCTTGATGTAAAGGGTAAAAACAAATCTGAGTCTCACACTATTTATACACCACAATAAGCACAAATTTATAATAATATTGAGTTATCCCACTTAATAAATTAACTTTTTGAGATATAAGTCAAAGTCTTTAAAAAGTTCAATTTTCATCATTGTATACATTCAATATAAGATTGATGACTCTAAAGAGAGTACCGTCTTGCAGGGCGTGTAAAGGGGAAAAAAACTAGAGTCTCACATTGTTTACATACAACAACAAACACTAACTTATAAGTATATTGGAACACTCCACTTAATAGATTAATTTTTTAGGATGAAAGTTCAAGTTCTTAAAAGATTCATTTTCACCATTTAATAATTGTCCGAATTGTAATTGAGAGTGTTCCTCACTAGTAAATTTTATCTCTTTTTGTCCATAAATGTAAGCCTACTGTCTTAAATCGTTGTGTCATCTTCTTTTTAGGGTTCGTTTGGTTGGAGGATTCAAACCATGTAATTTGAATCATTTTCGATTTACGTGTATTTTTTGTGAGAGAAAATATTGTAGCGAACCACGAATCATGATTCGAATCAGGGGATGAATCCCTCTACCAAACGTTTCTTATTTAATTTTTAATACATGCTACTATATTGGGTATAGGATAAGACAGTTACATAAAAGAGACAGAGACTGAACTACAAGCAAGAACTAGGCTTGAAACGGTTTTCATACAAACCATTTTTCAATTTAATGAGTGAGGAAAAAAGTACTACAAGTTTTCTACGTGCTCAAGCAACGCACAAAAGAAGAGAAAAAGTTGAAATCTGAATTATTTGTCGGATTCTGCTGGTATTGACTATAGATAGAAAAAATATCCAAATTCAAACACTGCTACAGGTCTATTTACTAGATTCTCTTATGTAAAAAAGATATAAGACTGTGTTTTCAGCAAAAGCAAAACATATAAAGCATGTTTATTTAGTATTATAATAATACAATACAATACAAGTTATTAATACAATATAATATAATACATGATTTTAAAAAAGAAAAAGAAAAAAAAAGAAAAGGAAAAAGACGTAATAAGACTATTGTCACTATTCAATACAAAAAAAAAAAAAGAAAAAAAAACAAGAAGCGAATGCTCATGTGTGATGAGTTAAACAAATATTGCCAATTGGTGAGAGAAAAAGGAAAAGGCTTTTAAGTCATGGCCATTCTCTGCATTTAATGAACAAAACAAAAGAGGTTAAGGAAGTTGACATTCTCTATTGCCTTTCTCTTTTAATGAAGAGAAAAAAAAAATATCGAATACTTGGAGAAGTTACCATATTGGTTTATTTTTGGCCCAAGTGAGGTTTATGGTTAAGTTTGTTACATCTAAATAATGAAGTGGTAAGATTGAATTCTGTGACTATTTATTATCCGTACGTTTTACTCAAGGGACATTTTTGTATTCTATTCTGTTGGTTATTAACTAAAAAAAAAAGAAAAAAGAAAAAAGAAAAAAAGAAAAGAAAAGCACGATTTAGAAAAGTTTTTAAAGTACCCTTGAGCTTCTTCAAGTAATGAACAAAACTACCAGTACTGGGTACTACATATTAATACAGTGAATTGCACTCATAAATAGATGAACGAAGTCCACTTTCTCATGAGATAGTCATTGTCCATGCGTTTTTGTTAACTAATAAATGATGCCAAATTGAAGTTATAAAGAAAGTTTAATTTGCAATTTGAGTGAAATAAAGATTATTACCATATTAAGAAGCATTCAATTTACAGGTTGTTTTTTAGAAGCATTTAATTCACAGTTGAAGTATTAGTAAACGGTTGAATTGAATTTATGCTGTAAACACTTGAATTTCATCTTTCATTTATGTTTCCAGCTGGTTTTCTATTAGTTTTACATATGATGTGGACTTTTTTGTTTCCCCCCTTTGAACTTGCAAGTGGCCATTTGAAAACGAACTCTGCATTTTATGATTAGTGGTGGAGTCAGAATTACTTTCAGTGAGGTCACCATGAAAAAAATTAGGGATAATTTTTATTAAATTCAAATATAAATATATGTATATATTTTGATTATTGTTTAGAAGGATAATTATAATTTTTATTGTAAAATGAGGTACAACGACATATTTTAATTATTAAATAGGGCATTTACCTCCACTTATCTTTATATGACTCTGCCACTTCTTATGATAGAGTCAGGTGTGAGGCTCGTTTAGTTCACTAATTTTAGTTTTTAATTTGAATTGAGACGTGATTTTATGTGAGAATTTTTTATTGTAGTAAAAAAAATTAAATTTGACTGTTTCAGAAAGTTTTTACTGTAACAAAACTTGAATTTTAAACTCGAATTGGTAAAATGAACTTTCAGTGAGGTCACCATGAAAAAAATTAGGGATAATTTTTATTAAATTCAAATACAAATATATGTATATATTTTGATTATTGTTTAGAAGGATAATTATAATTTTTATTGTAAAATGAGGTACAACGACATATTTTAATTATTAAATAGGGCATTTATCTCCACTTATCTTCATATGACTCTGCCACTTCTTATGATGGAGTAAGGTGTGAGCTCGTTTAGTTCACTAATTTTAGTTTTTAATTTGAATTGAGACGTGATTTTATGTGAGAACTTTTTATTGTAGTAAAAATTTAAATTTGACTGTTTCAGAAAGTTTTTACTGTAACAGAACTTGAATTTTAAACTGGAATCAGTAAAATGAAAAAGGCATTTACACGAGATTATGGCTTTGATTGCAACCACTAATGTGAACTTATTACTTGGTATAAACCATAATTCAACAAAATACTAATGTAGCTGTCAAAACCAAATTGTAATGTAACTGATGAGGGCAAGAAAGTCATTCCGCGTATAAAATTTTGACTTCCTAATATTTGGGTGTTGGGTCGGGGCTCCGACAAGAACAGTCCCATAATGCAAATAATGAAAAGGACAGAAGCACCCCTATAAGACAATCCTCTATCCTACCTCGATTTTTCCCACATTGACCACAGGTCCACAAACCGCCCTCCTTTTTTAACTGAAAACACTATTGGGGAGTCAACCGTCATTTCACTTAAAGTCTGAGTCCTCAAAAGGAATCCACGTGGCGCATGACGTGGCGTTGTCCTTTGCTAAACGCCAGGTGTAACCGTCAACCCAAGAGCCAACAACTGCACTCAACAGAAAAAAAAAAATTTTAAAAAAAAAAAAAGAAATTTCCGGAGAAAAAAAAAAAACTCTTTCTATAAAAACGAGACAGTGATTTCAACTAAAATATATATTTAATAGACCACAGGAGAAAAAAAAAAGAAAAAAAGAAAAAAAAACCAAGCAGACTTTTTTCTTTCTTTTTCTTTCTTTCTCACTCACACTCTTTCATAAGTGTTTTGTTTTACTTTCGTTACTTTCTCTCTCTTCTCTCTCTCTCTCTCCTATTACTAAAATATATTTTTTTATTTAATCATTTTTTTTTGGGAAGCTCTTTCTTTCTTTCTTGTCTTGGGGGGACTTTTGCCGGAAAATCGAGTTGAAATTTTCTTGGCGGCCAAACAGTGGAGGGCGGGGCGAATCAAATGTGATGGGAGGTGGACTCTCGACCGTCTTCCCGTGCTTCACGCCGGCGAGCCGGAGCAACCACCCGGACCCCCACCATGACCTCCATAGCCACCACCAGAACCAGGACTTGATCTTCACTTCCTCCGAGCCTCTCGACGAAACCCTAGGCCACTCATTCGTCTACGTCCGGAGCTCCGCGCGCTTCCTCTCTCCGACTCAGTCCGATCGCTTCGTTTCCCCTTCACAGTCGCTCCGATTCTCGCCCTCGCACGAGCCGGGAGTCTCGAGGACGCGAGCCGGACCGCCGGAGACCGGGTTCCGGACGATCTCAGGCGCCTCCGTCAGCGCCAACACCTCCACTCCCCGAACTGTCCTCCAGCTCGACAATATTTACGACGATGCCACTGAGACCACTCTCGGCTGCGGCGGAGTCGGCGTCGGTGGCGGCGGCGTCAGAGGAAGCATCGTCAACGGCTTCGAGAGCACGTCTTCGTTCAGCGCCCTTCCGCTTCAGCCGGTGCCGAGGGGTGGCGGAGGCGGAGGAGGAGAGCCGTCGGGCCCAATGGAGCGCGGCGGGTTCTTCCTCTCCGGTCCAATCGAGCGCGGCGCGCTCTCTGGCCCACTGGACGCCAACGCCGCCGGCGCCGGGTGCGATGGGAGTGGCCGGGTCCACTTCTCGGCACCTCTCGGCGGGCCTTATGTAAAAAGGAAGAGAAAGAAGGGCATTTCCGGAATTCGGAAGGCGTTTTACCGGAACTTCTCGGAGAAAAAGAGGCCCTGGGTTGTCCCTGTGCTTAATTTCGTTGGGAGAAAGGAGAGCTCCGGTTTGGGAGATGAGTCGGAGGCGAGAAGCGAGACTAGTAATGTCCAGTGGGCCCTCGGAAAAGCCGGCGAGGATCGTGTACATGTGGTCGTATCGGAGGAACAGGGGTGGTTGTTCGTCGGGATTTACGACGGATTCAACGGCCCTGATGCGCCGGAATTTCTCATGGGAAACCTTTACCGCGCCGTACACAATGAGCTTCAGGGCTTGTTTTGGGTGGTCGACGAAGCAGAGGAAGCTACTAGCGATCCGCAAAATGTGGTAGCCGAAGAGAATGAAAATGCAGTTGCCGTAGAGGAAACAAATCAATCGGAGGTTAGAACGGAGAAAAGAGTGACTTTTCAATCGGAGGAGACGGAGAGGCCGGCGGAGACTAGAAGGCGGCGGCTTCGCGATTTTCTTGCGGAGGACGATGCTGAGGACGGGCTTGACCTCTCGGGCTCACAGCGGTTCGCGTTCTCAGTTGATGACGCGCTCATCGTAAGCAACGGCGGGTCTGCGGCAAGCAGACGGTGGCTGCTGCTGTCGAAGTTGAAGCAGGGGTTGTCGAAGCACAGGGAAGGCCATGGAAGGAAGTTCTTCCCGTGGAGGTTCGGGTTGGAGGATAAGGAGAAGGTTGAGGTTGAGGTGGAGAATAGAGTAGAGGAGGAGAGGTCTAATCGGGGCAGCCGGAGACGGAAGGAGGGTCCGGTCGATCACGAATTGGTGTTGGGAGCGTTGTCCAGGGCTCTAGAAGTGACTGAGCTCGCGTATTTGGACATGACAGATAAGGTTCTCGATACGAATCCAGAGCTTGCGCTGATGGGTTCTTGCTTGTTGGTTGTGCTGATGAGGGATGAGGATGTGTATGTTATGAATGTGGGGGATAGTCGGGCAATCGTGGCGCAGTATGAGCCGGAGGAAGTCGGTTCTAGCGCGCATTCGAGAGGGCAGGGAGAGAACGGATCGGGCACGGAAGGGATAGTTGAGGAGTCCTTGGCTGCAGGTGAAAGGGCAATGAAGCTGGAGAACGAGACTCCTGCTCAGGCGATGAAATTGACCGCATTGCAGCTGTCCACGGATCACAGCACAAATATTGAGGAAGTAAGCTGTTGGTTCTTGTTTCTATGCTTTCATTTCGTATAATTGATCAGATTTATTTATTTATTTTTTTCAAAAGGTATAATTGATCAAATTTGATAGTTGCCGAACTCTTTCGTCTGTTTGGTGATTTTTTGTTTAGCATTATCAGGTGAATGCAACCGGGTTTAAGGTCAATGTAGTTTATGAACTACTAGAATTGAAAACATGTAGTGATTTTGGTAATACCTAAATATGTTACAATTCACATATATGGATTGTCATTGGAAACTTTCTTGACATTTCAGACCTCAACCTTGCGGAACTCACTGCCTTTTTCTCATTAGAATCGTTTCTTCGTTAATCCTATTAAAAGTGGGGGCATTATGATATTTTCATGGGAAATACTTTATTGTTTCTTATGTTTTTATATTGTCACGTCCTCTAGTTCTACTGATCTAAATATTAAGTTACGTGAGAAAGGATTCACAGAAATGTCAACTTCTTTGGTTTGAAATTCAAGTCACAGGCACATGCTATGTTTAAAACCTTTGAAGGGTTGACTTTAGTTTGCTACATACCTCGTTAATTTTCTTTCTTCTTTTTTTTTTTTTGTTTTGTTTTTTGGCAGTCAATTTTGTGATTAGACAATTATGCCAAGAGGCTTAAACCTATAACTTTTACGTTCCCTTGCTCCCTGATTCTTCTGCAGTTGCTCTCTGCGTGTAACTTGGTCTCTGGTTCAGTATCTGTAAAACACGTTGTTCATCCAGATTATGATTGTTTGAATCTCGTTTCTTTGGAACTTGTGCATTGTTTATATCTTCAGGTTCTAATACTCAGAGATCTTTATCTCTTTTTGGAAAGAATCATTGAAGAATAAAATGATTGGATACAATATTAAATTGCATTATAAAAGTACTCATCTATAACTCTTAAATAGTATGCCATATATAAAAGAGCTTTTATTTTCTAGTGAACATGTTTGCATACTGTTTTTAATAACTTTAATATATCTGAGGTCGTACTGACTTCATTTTGCCTCCCTCTGTAGTGCGTGATTTTGGTACACTGAGTAATTAATGAAGCTTCCTCTTTCGTACCTTTTTGATGTTATTTGTCCTTCGTCAAATGATTCAGGAAATTATGGGGAAGCTTCCTCCTAAACTTTTCTGTTTGCTGTTTTCTTCTGGATGTAGTATTACGGTCTATGCATTGAATTAAATAATTCTGTAGTCGATTTTTTTTTTCTTTTGTCATTATTACAAAAGGACCCTGATCCCTAAACATGCTGGTACTTATGATCATCACAATAAATTCACTAGGATTTAGCACACAACAAAAATAACCCAAAATAAATGTATGTTTGGACCTAAAATATCTACAATTTGTGCATTTTCTAGTAAATAATCATAGCCATTATCCTTTATTAGATTTGTGCTCGTTGGTTTGATGCATTATTACGTTTGCTTAGAATTTCAATAAACATTTTGCAGGAAATCATAAGAATCAAGAACGAACACCCGGATGACAAAAATTGCATTGTTAATGATAGAGTGAAAGGTCGACTCAAGGTTACCAGAGCATTTGGCGCAGGATTTCTGAAACAGGTTCGCCAACCATACTCAAATAGTTGTTTTCTTTCATGACATGATCTCAAAACTTATTTTGCTACACTATCAAAGAAAAAGGAATTTAAGGTTGTTTGGACATATGTGTATAGTTTTGGTAAAATGAAAGGTAGGATAAAGAATTGCATAATATTTCTGTCTTGAAATTCAGATAAACTGATATTGTTTCTTTTTTTCGAGCATAACGCCATAATGATAACCAAGTCTTTTTTTTTCCAACGATCAAGGCCGTTACTTGAGTCCTTGACATGAACAATTTCTATAACTGTAAAGCGCAAGCCGCAAGGTTAATTAGGCCTGACTATTTGCAGAAAAAAAATGGAGGTCTGATGGTTGTACATTTTATCCTTCTAAAATATGAACAGCCTCTACATATTTGTAGCGATGCAAAACTTTCCTTTTGATACATAGTTACATACATACGTACATGTGTGTGGTGTGGATATGTATTATTCATATATATTCATTTTCTGCGACTCTTGAAAATTCGTGTAAAAACTACCCCTTAATCTTGTAATGGCTGCATTATGTGATAATATATAGAATTTCGTAACATGAATCAATTAAATTGTAACGTAAATTCAATTATCTTTCTAAATATTTCGCGATCTTTTACAGAACTATAACGATAAATGTTTTACATGGACATAAAGTCAGGTAATAACATAGTTTGTGTTGGCACAGCCCAAGTGGAATGATGCATTGCTCGAAATGTTCCGAAATGAGTACATTGGTACTGCACCGTACATTTCCTGTTCACCTTCTCTTCGCCACCATAGACTCTGTCCTAGAGATCAGTTCTTAGTCCTCTCGTCAGATGGTTTATATCAGTATTTGACCAATGAGGAAGTGGTTTCTCATGTCGAGAATTTCATGGAGAAGTTTCCAGAGGGAGACCCAGCACAACATTTGATAGAGGAGCTTCTATTCCGTGCAGCAAAGAAAGCTGGTATACTTTTCCGTATATTCTGATTGTTTCCTAAATTTGCTTGTAGGTGCTTCTATATATTGCTTGTGGTCTTTGGAATAGTGATTCAATTTATTTGGACCTTCCTACCCATCTTTCCCTGCCCCTCCTCCTTAGTGATGTTAAATATCTGTCATGTGCGAGACTCCCCAAGTATTTTCCGTTTTGTTCTTTCAGGCGTAGTAAACACTAACTGCATATATTCTTTGTTTACACAATTTTCAGTGGTTTTCATGCTCCAAGTTTTCTTTGCATCAATGAATCTGGCCAATGTTGTACTTGACGCATTTTATTTACTTGTGGTGCACTTGTTTTAACGGGCTACCCAATCTTGAACTTGATCTGGTTTTCTATGTAGGAATGGATTTCCATGACTTACTAGACATCCCACAAGGAGATAGGAGGAAGTACCATGATGATGTTACAGTGATGATTATCTCACTTGAAGGAAGGATTTGGAAGTCATCAGGAAAGTACCTCTGACAATGTACTGCAGAATCCGTCTTCTCTCTACAGGTGATATTGCAGCTCAGTTCTCCAAGTAATATTCGCAAGCGGTGAGGAAAGCTTTACCGCTGACCATTTCCTTCAGTTAGGGGTTTTTTCTTTTTTTTTTTCCTCCGTCTTACAGCATAAGGATACAGCTAAATAGGGGGTGGCGCAGGTGGTAATGGCAAATGGGCTGATGTTAGATATTACAAAAACTTGAATAGATGAAAAGAAATTTGGTTTCGGGGGAAAACAGGAGAATTTGCAGATGGGGTTGATGGGAAATGCTCTTTAGGTGAAAAAGAAAATTCAATTTTCTTTTTCTTTTGGTTGTTTTTTCTTTTTTAGACGTTTTTTGGTTATAAGATAGAAATATTGTGTAGGTGCCGGCTCCATTTCATCAGTGCCATGTTCTTCTCTTTGGAAGCCGAAAAAAATGTCTGTAAATTGGTGGGGGGGGTACAAATTTATTTACTGAAATTGAGCATTTCCTAGTCAATGGTGAGCAGCTGTAACTTTGAAGGTGGGTTTTCCACCATTGCGGATTTGAAAGAGATGAAAATTTTGCCCAGATCCTTGTGAAGTGCAGAAAGTACTATGATTTTTAGATTTTTGTAGAACTGTCTATTAGTTTCTTGCTAGTGCAATTTTCTCAAAGGAAACCAGTAACATCACAACTCCATTAGTTGGGATGGAAAAACTTCCTTCAGAAATGAAGAGCAATCCTTTTATTTTATTTTATTTTTTGCATTTTAAACATGTAGTTGAGGTAAAGGATCTCAGCTTGAAGAACCGTGCTATTAGTATTTGTTGTGAGAATCCTGTCATGGAAAATTGGAAATTAACAGAACTATTATGGACCTCGAGTCTCACTACGATGGGGGAAAAAAGATGTCTGCCGGCACCAATGACTGGCGGAAGATTGGGGTGGCGCTGCCAAGCCTTTCATCATCCAAAGTTGTGAACGGTGTGTGTTGTCCTCGCTCGAAATGACTCTTCTATCTCGTATTCTATGGTTTCCTGCGGTGTGAATGTGATGGGGGCTTGAGTGGGGAAAGCTTGGATGGTGAAACAAATTTAAATGGTCGAGAAAGCACAGTTTGCACTCATAATATTTGTGAAAAAAAAGATTTGAAGTTAAAAGTTGAAAAATTATTCCTGATTACTGAGTGATTCTACCAAAGATGCTCAAGACAAGCAATGCAAAGATTATGAGGTGAGGTCGGTTGGGTATGGGAACGCAGGCCCCACCGTGACCACCGGTGCAGAGATTCTGTGGCACCTGCTCAGGCAGGCGTCCTACGCTAATGAGTGCATCGGCAGGCTGGTCTGGTCGTTCACGCCACAATCCTTGTGCCCAATTGAGTTAATCTCTGAATTTTGATATTGCTTCTCTTGAGGAGTTTGTCACATAATCGCGGGCAGAAAATGCTTGCTCCCTTGTTTGAATTTGTTTCCAGTTTCACCATATTAATATTAAGTTATCCTTAAAAAAAAAAAAAAAAGGTTGATTGGAATTTATGTACGTCTCTTTCAATTCACAAATTTAAATTTTCAATTTTAAACTTCTACAGTTAAAAACTCTTAAAAAATGTTGCATTTAACTTTTTTTGTTACAGTTAAAAATTCTAAAAAAATGTCACATTTCAGTTCAATTGAAAATTTAAATCCGCAAAACGTAATTCAAAGTAGAATAGTTTTTCCAGCAAAAAAGAAACGAAAAATTAGAAAGTAACAAAAGGAAATTACAAACTATGAACATATTATGCAATGTTTTGACTATGCCGTGACAGCAGTTGGAGCCCTTGATTGCGCCCAAGACACTAAATCCTCCCTTGTTGCCACAAAACAACCCGCTTTCTCTTCACTCTGCCTAAATGGGGCTGCAAGTTTCTCTGCATGGGAAGCGAAAGAATTGGCCAATCCTTGAGAGAACTTGTGAGTTCCAACCCCAGTTTGAGCCGAAAACAATTCTGGCAACTCCTCTTTCCGCTGAACAATCCTGTAAAGCGTTCCCATCCACTCTTCAAGCGCAGTTTGAGCTGCGCCAATTGACAGTGACCGAACGTCCAAACACCATTCTTTTGCAGTCTTGTTGTGAAGCCCAGGATACAATCCATATAGGGTTCCTAGATAGAGCAGCTCGTGAGCTCTCTCGTGGTGGCCTCTGTTTCGACACATATCGATCAAGCAGTTACAGAAGGGCCTTCGAGCTTCGATGGATGTGTCACTGATAACACTCCGGAACTCATCTTTAACAGTTTTGAAACTAGTTTCCTCTCCTTGCAGCAGCCTAACAAACACAACCAACTTCGGGTTAGCCTGCTGCAGGCAAGCCAAGACCTTTTCCTCATCACCAACATCATCACACATTGACACAACCGAGAGCAAGCAACCGCAAAGCCTATCATCGGGTCTGACCCCTTTCTCAACCACGAAACTGAAAACCCTAACCATATCATCAACCCTCTTAGCCTTCCCCAAGCACTGCACCAAACAAGTACACCCCATCACATTGAGCTCAACCCCCAACTCAGACATTTCATCAAACATCTCCATCGCCTTCTCCACCTTCCCTCCGCTGCCATAAATATTCAGCATTGCCGTGTAGCTCCAACTGTCTGGGCGGCTACTCTCCGACCTCTTCATATCCTCAAACAACCTCTCCGCCTCCTCCTCCAAACCCAAATCCGCACACATGTTCAACAAAGTGTTGTAAAGAATAAAATCCACAGGCCAGGAATTAGACCTCATCCTCTCCCACAACTCCAAGGCATCTCTCCCCCACCTCGCCTTCCCATAAACCTTGACAAGCGCGGTAAGCGTTTTCTCATTCGGAGTCAAACCCGACTCGATCATTTCCTCGAACAAGCTCCTTGCCATACCAGGCTTGCCCGCCTTCCCCATTGCCTCCAACAACGTGTTGTACACAATCAAATTAGGCTCAACACCAAGAGACCCCATTTCCTGCAAAACATACCTAATCCCATCAAAATCCCCGGCCTCACCAAACATCTTCCCCAACACCGCAAATGTTATGGCATCGGGTTTCCACCCACTAGCCCTCCCTCTCTCATACAAACTAAGCACTTCCTCAACTTTCCTCAATTGCGCATAAACATCTAATATAGCCGAGTAAGTCACCTCATCAGGCATCATTCCAGTCTTGTACATTCTCTCAAACCACTCCACGGCTTTATCGAAATCTTTGCACCTCTTAGCACACGTTATGATAGTCGAATAAGTAATATTATCGAGTTCAATATCATTCCTAATCATCTCATTAGCAAGCTCTTCAATGAGCTGAAACTGCCTTCCGAACCTGAGAGACTTCATGGTGACATTGTAGAATATGGTCTCCATGGGAAAAGAGTTCTGGGTCTTGAGCCAGTTGAAGAAAAGACGAGTGTTTTGCCACGGTTTGAGGCTGTTGAGGATCAGAAGCGCGTTTTCTCTACTGGGTGGATGCGGGATTTCTTTCAGAGTGGCCATGAAAGCTTCTTCGGAGTCTCCGGAGTTGTTGAGCTTCTGGGCAAATCGCCTGAGGTCCCGCACTTGCGGGTTGTAGGAGTGGGGAGAGCGTTTCTGTCGCTGGAGGGAAATGACGGAGCGTTTTGGCCTTGTGGGGTTGACCCAAGTGGACTTTGGCTTTGAAAGAAGAGTGTTGTTTTGTTGTTCTTGGTCGTTGGAGAGAGTGGTTGTGGTTAATGGTTTGAGCTGTTCGGATAAAGATGAGGTTTTTTTGTTTCTGGGTTTCGGAGATGTACAACAAGAGATTGTTAATGTTGTTCTTGTTCTTGTTGTTGTTGGGATTTGTCTGAATAGTGGGGAGGTGAAGAAGAGGGATTTGTTTTGATCGGAGTGTTTGGTTAAGTGGACATCTAGAGGTGTGGAAATGGCTGCGTTAGCCATTAGAATTGCAGAGAGAGAGAGAGAGAGAGAGAGAGGGGAGAGAGTGTTTCTTTTGGGGTTGAGGGTAGAAATATCTGACAAACATACGGATATTTATGGGACCTTATCTAAATGTAACGCAAGTTTTGGACGAATCCTTGGTCAGAATTTGATTAAGGACATGTATGTATTTCGGTAACAACTTTTAGAAAGAGAACTTATTACAACAGGGAGGGATTACAGGAAAATGTAAAAATTGAAACTTTTTGCTTTTTGGTGGGATATAGCGACTGGAAAGTGTGATTTGATGACAAATATTTTTAAATTATATGAGTTTAAATTTTTATTTTTTATTTTTGATTAATATTATTTTTAATTAAATAATTATATTAATTAAAAGATATTAATAAAGAATAAGGAGTTAAAAATCTAAACTCACGGGAATAATGAGATGAATGACCAATTTTCAAGGAGAAATTGAAAAAAATAAAATGATCAAATTTTGCACTAAAATGTTAGACGTCCCATATTAGCCGAAGTCCCATATTTATAGACTACATTAATTGACATATAAAAATTTACTAAAATATATCGTATTAGTATTTACAAAAGTAAATCCGACCATTTATTAAAACAAAGGGCCAAAAAAAAAAAAGGATCGCGTATTACAAACTCTAATTTTTAGACACCCTTCAAGTTCTAGACCTAGATGGTCTCTTCTGATCGCATGGCCTAGTTAAATAAATAAGAGTTGCAGTTTTAAAGCAAAAAAAAAAGTTTCTCAGTCCCGCCTTGATTATTGGTTAAAAATTACCATTTCCAACATCATCTTTGACACAGCTAACTCCAATAAACAAACTTAATTGTGTCAAAAAAAAAAAAAAAACGAAAAGCAAACTTAATTTCCCCCACTTCGACGAGTAGAGAAACCCAAGTTTTGACAGGATCATTTAAAAAAAAAAAGGAGTGAAAAAATAACCATTTTATTGCCATAATCAAAATTTCTTCGCATTTTGGTTTCCTCAGGAATCATATAGCGCATTAGGAAATGCGCCAACTTACAAAAAGAACAAAAATTTGCTTGAACTTCAGAAACACAATTATGATGCCTTAACCAATGCTAATTAATAGAACAACAAATTGATACATACATCACCGGACACAAGTTATATCCCATTATGAGGACTTCTTTTGTGTGGGATCCAATAACCTTCTAATATGGCTCTCTACTTCCTTCTGGACTGAAGGATAAGGTATGCGTTGAAACACCTCGGCTCCAAAGGACAAGACGAGAGCCTTTCTAGCTGTTTCCAGGTTGATCCCACGAGCCTGGAAATAGAATAGTTGGCTTTCTTCTAGATCGCTAATTGCAGCTCCATGAGAACACTTGACATTGTCTGCAATGATTTGGAGATTGGGTTTGACATTCACGGTCGCACGAGGTTCGAGGAGAAGGCTCCGCGTTAGCTGACCTGCATCTGTCTGCTGCGCATATCTGAATGCAAAACCGCAGGTATTAAAAGAAGTAAACAGCAGTATTGTCTAAAGATCATTTGTATACCAACCTTAACTCTAAATACCGTCACGCAAAGATAAAAAAAACTATCCAAATGAAGTAGTCCGTGTACAAAAGACAATCATAGTTAAAAGAACCAAATCCAAAGGATATGGTTTTAGTAACATACATACAGCTAGAAGGCTTTATGCGGTATGGAAATTTCAAAATTGAATAATCTAATGTGTAACAAAGAAACTAGCACATTTGTAATTATTGACGGCAAGTAGATGAAAACGACGAACTACCTGTTGACCTTTACGTTTCCGTCAAATATGGCTTGCCCTTGAGAGTGAGATACGATACACTTGTGGAGTTGTCGGGAATAACCACGAGGATGGTCCAGAACTAAGCTACTATGTAGATCTTGTGTTTGGTCATCACCAGACAAGTGCAATGTTGATAACTCTGTTGTTGTGTCTGGTCCCAATTGCTTAATACGGACATTGTGTCTGCTCAGCTTTCCCCCCGTACTGATTTCTGTGAGCTCATAGGTGCTACCTGATTCCTGCAACAATCAACTTCATGAATCTCGCACGGCCGAATTAAGTTGTAATTGTGCAGCTTGTACTAATTGTAGGCAATAAGAGTCTATAAAAGAGTTACTTAGAGGGAAAAAACTAGTGCAAATCTCATTTTTCGTTGTAACATCTTAAAATGCTCTTAACAAAGAAAGTGCAGCCTACATTTCTAGTTTTGAACCAAAGGTAGCAAATACTAATCGCAGAGATTATTTTACATGCCAATACCCAACAGAAGAACTAAGCCACACTCTTTTAGTTCTGAAGAGGTTTTCAGAATGTCTGCATACTAAAATGCAAAAGCACCCGAAGAATAAGACCAAACAATCTTCTTTTATTTTTCCCTATTTAACACTAATCTGACTCGGGAAACAAATGAGCTCAAAAACAGATCAGACCTCATAACAGCCAAGGTCACCAAATGAGTTCAATAAAATCACGTGATTCGATATTATCTCAATTTCCTCAGAGAATTGGGAACCAAGTTAACTTTTTGAGGAAAGTGTATCCATGTGTATCTGAATAAATCAAGAACCCTTTATAGAAGGAGTCTGCCAGTTTTTACAAAGTACAAAAGTGCACAGCTGTTCCAAGAAAGCCAAATTAATTGATACAAAAGCATGAGTTCAGTCCAATGTGAAACGATTTCTGCAACAAAAGAAGCACCTAGAGCAGTAGAGGGGTGGTGAAAGTCCGGGTAAGAAGCAATTTACTTCATCAACTATCTATAACCACTGATCCAAGTTCAGATATATATTGCAAATATTTACTAGAAAAGAAAAGAAGTCTAGTACATAGAGTATCATATATAGGAATATCTAAATGCTTGTGTATAATACATTTCATGGATTACTAACAGCTTATTTTACAAACCAAGACCACTTAACTAAGCAAGATATACCAGTTCACGCCTAAAACCACAAATAGTGATTATTCATCTCTTGCCTAATGTTCCAATGAAATGACCAAAACGGTTTATCTATCCCACCAACACCATAAAGATGAACCTAATCATCATTTCCAAAACCATCTAAAGTTACAATTCAAGATTCAGATACAAGTACAAACATCCCAAAATTAAGTGGCAATTAATCATTAATCAATCATAAATAAAATAATAATAATAAAAAAAGAGCAATAAGTAAGGAAAAATAATTTTACCTGTCTAACTGAAGTCCACTTGATATGGGCAGCATTCAAAGACTGTCTCTGAACATAAGAATGCCTAACTTTCCCACCTTCTCTAACCACAACATCTAAAACAGCATTAGCCCAATAACACTTATTCTCATCTCCATCCAAAAACTCCTCAATGATACCAACCTCCCCACCCTCCTCCACCAACACAAACACCCTCGGATTCGAAATCGGCATTTTGTCCGAACCTTTCTCACCTCCCTCAACAGACAAGTACCTAAGATGAATTGGCCTCTCAACTCTACACCCCGAGGGCACATAAACCACCGTCAAATCGGGCGCCCCAATCCCATTAATAGACCAAAACAAGTCCTTTTCTTCATCACCACACAAAAACTCAACGACCCTTTTCGCAACGCCACTTTCTGAAGACAAATCCACCAAGCCACCAACGAAAACCCCATCAGGAAAATCGGATAAATTCGAAAGCTCTTTCACGAAAAACCCATCAACTATAGCCAAATTGGGGAACTGGGTATCTGTAGAAATGGTCAAAGACTGAGGCGGGTGTGAAATTGGCTTGATTTGAGAGTGTCTGATGAAGGAAGTGTCTGTGTAGCGAAAAGGCTCGTCTTTGCGAGACGGCCATGGGGTCGACAGGAGGGCCTCGGAGGAGGCGTCTCTGAGCTTCTGGAGAGCTGAAGAAGAAGAAGAAGGGAGAGAGTCTTCGAGAGTTTCGGCGAGTTGGAGGACGAAGGGGTCGGAGAAAGTGGGTTGAAGAGATAAGGAAGATTGGATTGGTGAAAGTCTGGGTTTGGATTTCGGGGTTTTGTGTGCGGAGGAAAATGGTGGTGGGATTTTGGGTCTGTGAATGTGGGGTGTGAAGGTTACGGCAGCCATGGACGGAGGGTAATGAAGTTGGTCTATGAATTTGACAAATGTTCGGTTGGCTCTAACAAGCAACTACGACTAGAGCTCTTCCCATTATTGGCACAAATAGTCCCTCAACTTTGATCATAATCGCACTTTAATCTCTAAAACTTTTAATTTTAACATGTTAGTCTATAAACTTTTAATTTTTAACAGTTTTGATCATCGACACTAAAATTAATTGATGATTTCATACTTTAACAAAAATAATCACATCTTTATCGAATAATATAGTTATAGGATTTAATAATAAGGGAGTTTTTTTAAGAGTCTGTCTTATCGATAGTCTCAATTTTTTACTGTTAGATTTGATTAAAATCGCATCAGATTTAAAAAGTATATAAATTAGATAAATTCTTATACATAAATGACGGATGAAAAGTAAGAGACTACCAGTAGTATATTTTTACAGGGATTATCAAAGAAAATCTGTAATAATAAGAAATAAAATTTTTACAAATAACGTAACTTTTTCTGTAAAATTTTAAGTTCCCAAATGATGGACACTTATCATTATTTCATTAATTTACCGTTAGGGACTATATCTGAAAATGAAAGTTAAGAAACTAATAAGCTAAAATTAAAAGTTTAAAAATAAAAATGTTACTACGCTTAAAATTAAAGGATTATTTGTGCCAATTATAAAAAAACAATTATAATTTTATCTGCAGAAATAAACAACTATCAGAGTTCTATTTTGGAAAACCACTCCCCTTTCTAAAAAAAAAGTAAATAAATAAAGAATAAGAACCATTATTGTCACAGTTCATAAGAATTATTATGTTTTAACTATTAGAATCCCTTACAAAAAAATTTTACATTAATTTTTAACAATATGATTTATGAGTATTTACGTTAAACTTTATAGCGCTTAGCAATTAAACTCCCTTTCATACACCGTTTAAAAATTAATAAAACATCTAACACAATAAAAGGATAATTTCTATGGTAGAAATTCTAAAAAAAAATAAAACTATGAAGTTTGCCTTGAGAAGTTAGCTCTCTCAACTCTTGATTATATTGAATTATGTTTTGAATTTAATAAAATACGGCAGAGTATCTCTAACTCAATGAATGAGTTAAAATTGAGAAGGAAACATTTTTGTTCACATGACATGATGTACCCCGAGGGTAATTCGAAATTTTTAGTTTTTTTTTTTTTTTTTTTTCTTTTTCAAATGAGTTCATGCAACATATATGAGGATGTTTTCATTTGAATTTTAATTCCTTATTCATTTTTTTTTGGGAACCCTGCAATATTTTGTTAAATGTAAGGATAATTTGTCAAGATTAAGATAACTTTGTTAATAAAAAGTTCAAGGACGAGATGTGACGAGTGCCCAAAGAAAAAAAAGAGCATCTCTAATGCAATATAAAAGGAAGAAAAAAATGGTTGTAATCTTAGAATATCTCTAATGCAATATTATAATTGATGTGTTAATTGTAAATTTAACATTTGAGTACAAAAAATACTTTTCAATGCAATGTTATTTATTGTACTAAATTTTTCATATGTTATATTTTGCGACAAATTTCCCACTAAGTATAGCATACGAGAAATTTGACATTTGTTTGCTATTAGTTGAAATGTTTACTTTTTCATGTAATCATTACAACTTTTACATTTTCTATTTAATATGAGAAATTTTGCATTTATTTGCTATTAGTTGAAATGTTTATTTTTTCATGTAATCATTGCAACTTTTGTATTTTCTAATTATTTTAAGAGACATTCTCTGATAGACCAATATACAGGTAGGTCAGGTTTTCTAACCGTTGGATCTACATAAAATTACGTAAAGGTTAAAAAGTACGTAGATTCAACGGTTAGAAAAACCTGACCTACTGGTACACCAGACATATTAGAGAATCTCCCTTATTTTAAAAATAAAAGTTTATTTTTATAACTTTCAATACTTAGTAATTATGGGAAAAAGCAGATGACGCATCCTGATATTGTGGATATGCTTTTTAAACGTTGTAGTTGTTGGGAATAGTGTCCTAGAAGCATGAGATGTAATAGGATATTTATTATTTAATTAATAAAAGAGTTTATTCATCATTTTATGTGCATATATTTATGAATATCAAATGAAAATTTCGTGATTATTTATGTAACCTTAAACATTGTATATAAGTGTTATATACGAGAGGATAATGTTTAAGGATAATAATAAAAAACGTTGTTCATAATGAATTTAATTAAAGTTCAGAATCTTTAATTAAAACATTATTAATACATGTCATTCACATTTAGAATGGAACGGTGCTATCCACACTGTTAATATGATGAGATATTGAATGAGTGTATTTCGCATAATGAGATTGTGTGGAATAGGGAAACAGACACAATATGAATTTCTAATAATTTCCGTTAAGCATAGAAATTCTAATTGTTGGTCTCCGAATCGAATTCAGATGCGGAAGC